TTCGTGTGCTAGCTGCAGTCACATCATATCTCAAAAAAACTAAAAAAAATATCATGGTCTAAATTCAATAAATTCTATTCTTAATATCAAACCAAAGAAAAATACACGAAATTTAAATATAAAAACAAATTAAAAATGTAAATGTATAATTAATATATATATATATATATATATATATATATATATATATATATATATATATATATATAGTGCACAACGTACATAAAACACAGACCGTGAATAGAAGAGGACCTAACGCAATGTTATCCAATATACGCGAAATTTGACATTCTAATTTCTTTTCCAGATATAAATATTACAAGTATATTTTCATTTATACTTGTTCGTTTTCACTTTTCGAATTTTATGTAGCGTTAAAAAATTTGTTTTCGTGTCTGCATTTTGAGTTCGCTTATTTAGTTGTTTGTTTTTGTCTGGGAAGGTAATTTTGAATATTTTGCCTCCAGGCAGAGTTTTACAGTTTTTGGTTGAATGTTGCAGGCTGATGTTTTTCCTTATTTTACATGATATTTTTGGTGTGATTTTTTTAATCTCTTAGATATGTTTAAAAGGCATTGTCTTTTTCGCGTATTTAAAGGATATTTTCTGTGCGTAGTTTCTTTGTTTCCAGAATACTTCAGTTATTCCTATGTATATTTTTCTTCGTTATCAGCTGAATTTGCAGTGGCTTAGTATATTACATTGTTCTGTAAGTAATGGCTGTTTAAGGGACATTCTTTCCTTATTCTGCAGTTATACGTGGGTTTAATTTGTTCTGGTGGTTTTTCATTGTTTTCATGTTGTGCTTTTTTATTATTTGTGCAAATCTAGCCTATTTTTATTGTGTTTTGTTGAACATCTTGTGAAGTGTGCTTGATCAGGGGAGATTTTGTGTATGAGATTAATGAATAGTTTTCCTACATTTGAATCCGTACACTCTTACTTTTTCCAAAATTGTTTTCCCGAGCCCAACATATTATTATTTAGGAAAAAAATTGATTAAAATGTCGTCCAGTTACGCCATTGAAAAATCGCAGTCCGCAAGTATGGTACCCATAACTTGTTGAAAAATAGCTGGTGTCACATTTATACCAAAATTAAGTCGGTTAAACTTATATAATAGTTTGTGCGTATTTACGGTCGTTAATTCCAAACATTCATTTTCAATCTGGATTTGTAAATACGCTTCAGAGAGATCCAGTTTTGAAAATATTCTTCCATCGATTAACATCGAAAAAAAAATCCTCTAAACTTGGTAATGGGTAGCTACGTGTTTCTAAACAACTGTTTTATCCTGTCGAGAAATCCGCGCAAACACGAATTTTATTATACACCGCTGGTGCAGCCCATTTTGAATGGTTATTTCTTTTTATTGCACCAATTATTTTGAGTCTATCCAACTCTTTGTTGACTTATTCCAATGCTGGAAATGGTACGCTCTGTTTCGTCTTAAATACTAACGCCAGCCTTTTATTCTTACTTTAAAATCCGGCTTGAATTTTGAACACTGACCCAGTTTATTTGATAGCATAATTGGAAAACATCTTTTTTTAATTTCCCATCCATGTGGTTTCACTGATTATTGAAATATCACTACCAGTGTCCAGTAGAATTTTCACATCCACACGATTTTCACACCCACAAATTTCCTTTTGTTTTCTGTGACCATTGTTCTCTTGCAATGTTGTGTATGCATTTCTTCCTGTGAGAATTTTTCCTTGGTTTGGTTTTGCAGTGTAACTTATATTTTCTCTTATACCACACTTGTAACATTCTGCATTTTTAACTGGACAGTCATTTTCAAGATGTAATTTACCACATCTGAAACAAGGATTTATTCTCCTTTTTTAATATTTGTCCTTTGCTTGTATAAGTGCACAATCTTTTTTCTTAATTTCTTCGGCATCGTGTTTCAGACTTAGAATTTTCTGGCAATCGTCCACTATTTCTCGTAGTGTAATATTACTGTTTTGTTCACTTTTCGTTTAAATTTTCTCTCGTATTTCAGCATCATTTTTAACTGTCAAATCTTGAACAAAAATTAACAATGTGAACATACCTTTCCTTTCTTCTAAACTTTTCACATGCTTTGTTGACGATATAACGCCAACGAGTCGATCATTTGGTCACAGCAACCAATTATAACACGCACACACCGCAGAGTTTTGGTAGCAGTTCGTCCGCCCTTCGCATCTCTCACGAACTCACTGGTTGAATCGCTGGGATTTGCTTATATTCATTCCGACCCAAGACTGGCGTGCGTTCGGACTGGTCTTTGGTAATTCCCAGAATTTCGGATTTACTTGCAGTATCGCGCCGTCTTTATAACTCATACTTTCTCTTATTTATGCCTAGCACCTTTACATCCAAATGGCTGGAGGCAAATTTTCCCCTTTTTTCCTCTTCTCTCAGTATTTCAATCTGGGAACATCCCTAAGAAGTTTTGATGACTTTTTTTGATAATTCTAATTTTAAACCGAGAGAGTGAAGAGGCGATCTTATTTTAATGATTGTTTTTTCATAACAAATATTTACAAGCCTTTGGTTTATTTTATTGTAATGTACCTTCGACCAGTCAACTCGCTTCCACAGCACTCGGGTAGTCATGCAGACCTTCCAGATACGTTTCACATTTCAATTTCCTTCGGGTAACAGATTAAGTTTTGTCTCCCCGAGTTGTTTAGATATCCACTGTTATACTTCAGCTGGCCCCTTCGCTTGGTCTGCCAATCGCAACCTTCACTTTTGTTGTCGACCATAAAACAAATATTTCCCAATTCCGTTTTTAATACCCACACTTAGCGAATAACACGGAATATAGCTGTTATGGTCCGGTTCTTTGTACCACGGTGATAGTCCAAGGTAGAACCAATAAAGAAGAACTCGAATACGGATATGGAATAACACAGATATATTACAAACAGGAATATATACAGAGAAGTAGAAGTGTTAGTACGAACAATCAGGTTTAGTAGTAATTGTCTGAACGCGACTCTGTTTCGGACTGCCTCTGACTCGACTGACTGACTGACTGACTCGCTCTGACTGAGTGACAGATTCCTGGCGGGCTTCACTCCAGACTTCAGACTGAACTCCCTGCTTCCTCTTGAGGCGCAGTATTTATTACGTATGGAATAGTCCATTATGTTATTATGGTTAAGGTCCCATAACAATAGCGTATCAATTTCACCTCACATTTTTACGTTAACCCTTTTATTTCCACCAGTGCGACATAGTGTCACATCCCTACCTTTCCACTTTTTGTCATTTACTTGTATATGATATTGAACTCACCTTCCCTATGGTTAATTCTGCGAAAAAATTTATGAAAAACGGGATTTGTTTTATGCAACATTTTTTTCTTTGTAACTAAGCATGTAGTAGAATTGAAAACTCTTTCTTGTTCTTTTCAGGTTCATGAGCATGTACGTTCATATTGGGGCTTGCATTACCCCTTACAATTTAATTCATTTGACCTGTTTTATGGTTTGTTCCTCTTGGTCGACTTTCCTCTCCCCACAATAGTTTTATTTGTTTTCCTTTGACAGATCTCTGTTCTGCTTTTAGTTTTTTTCCCTCCTCTGAAGTTGATCTGCTTTGGTAAAAACACTTTTCATGCATATTCGCCAGTACTTGGGGATTAGTTGATTTTCTCCTATGCTTCTTCCGCTTTCATATTATTGTCATTATAGTAGCAATAACTACTAAGGTACATAATATAGAAGACCAGTTCATTATGATCTCTCGAAACTGTATTCTTTTCTCTGATGTCACTCAATTTATCTTTCAATTTGTCCAAACTAAGTTACTCTATTGACTTTAATAACTCTGGAGTCTCCTTTAATGCAACTTCAGGGAATTTCTCTAACATTGGTTCCCATAATTCTGTCAAAGTATTCAGACCCATTTCGAATAACTTTACCAAAGAATCTTTTTCCTCATATTTCTCTTTGGCCTGATAAAATGGGGAAAAGGAGACAGATACCACGGGTAATTCTATTAAAGTCAATGGAGGATTTATCTTTATTGTTCCCGTGGGTCTTCGCCTTACATATTCTCGATAGATCAATCCTAGGCTGGGTGGCTACTGCCCAAACTCAATCAAATATACTGATAGCTTGTAGTAAGAGGTCAATATCCACACTTGAAAATTTTCCAGATTTCCCTCTTTATCTCCCTTAAACAATTCAAGTACACACAACCTTTGATTCCCTGTCACATAAATGGGATTTAATAAAGTACACGTTTCCAAAACATCGGCTTTAAATTCCGCTTCTCTTGTCGTCATCAACATAAATCTTGTTCTGGCCGAATTTAAGGCTATATATTCGGTCTCAATTTGATATTTTGCAACTTCCCCTGATCTCTTTTCTAGTAGGGTGGCATTTTCCTTTACTTCCTCAGGAGAGGCTAAGGCCGACAATTTTGTCGCTCAAGCTTTTAATGCCACTGGAGTCTCATCTGGGTGGGCTTCATGAGACTCCACATGACATCTGTTACCGTCCCATCATCTGTATATTGTTACGAACCCCCACCTAAATTTATTATAAAAACTATACCATTGCTTATATTTTAGAAACATTCTAAAATAAAGAGCCCAGTACTTGCAGAAACGTAAAGATAGTAAGCCCGAAGAGATAGGTAGACTTAGTGGCGACAAAGATTAATCAGAATTTCTCTTTTGGTCAACGTGTTGACAGCATGATTTACCCGGATAGATTCCATATAGGAAAAGTTGAAACACTTTAAACTAAACTTTCTCTGACCCTGCAGGTGAGAGAAGGGGTCAATGACCTCATTTCGCCTAGAATGGGAAAAAGTTCGTATTTGAAATTTGACCACGTGACAAGAAAAAAGGAAACGAATAGAGAAACGAAAAAAGTGAGTCTTGTCCAGGCCTTAGGGCCGGGCAGACGTGTTTGCGAAGAATACAAGAGTCTTGTCCAGGCCTAAGGGCCGAACGGACGTGTTTGCGAAAAATACAAGTGTTTTGTCCAGACTTAAGGGCCGACGGACGTGTTTGCAAAAATACGAGAAAGAGAATTCATCTTCGAATGGAATAGATGGACCCGTTTGCTATGAAAGCAAAAGTTTTGGTTGGCTAAGCAAAAAAAGAAAAGTCCCTCTTCGAACCTCGAACGGATGACCGAACGCAAGCGCGTGGAACACGAAAGAAATGTTGACTTTTGGGAAATAAACGACGACGTATGCAGACTGCCGCTACATGGGACGAAAGAGAGATAGAAGACATCTTTGATTTGTCTGTCACCCAAGTCCCTAGACGAGTCGCTGATAGAAAAAAAAAGAAGAAAGCAAGAAAAGATCTCAAAGGGAGATACTTATGTGAAAAGGAAAGAAAGCAAGAAAAGATCTCAAAGGAGAATGCTGCCACACCGAAATGAAGGAGCGAGAGAGAAAGATAGCAGTTTCAACTTAATCGTCGGCCAAGCCCCTAGACAGGACGATAAGAGAAAGAGAGGAAGTAAGAAAAGATCTCAAAAGGAGACGCTTATAAAAAGAAATAGAAAAGAAAAAAGAAAAGAAAAAAGAAGTAGATATAAGAGACTTTAATGGAAAAGAACTTTTATTACATCTCGTAATAAAAGTTCTTTGTTTTTCTTGTGCTTCGTTTTTGTTTAAATGTAATTCTTTTTCATGTTTGTACTTTCATGCAAGTCTGGCATGAGATCCTTTTATTATATACTTCTTTCTACCTGTCTTAAAATTTCGATGTTCTGTAAATTCGTGCAAGTATGATTTGTGTTTTACCTTCCTAAGAGGATGTTCCTCTCCCACTATTTTGTCCACAATGTTTAAATGTTTATTCTCGACACATTATCATTTTTGTTTTGGTCGTTTTTTTTAATCTTTCCCATGTTTTACGTTTGTTAATAAATTTATATTCCCTGTCTCCATTGTTGTTTGTCGCCTATCGTGTTTGTTCCTTAATCGATTCCGCTCGGCCGTGCCTGATCAATCGGAAAGAGACCCTTGGGAAAGAAATATATTTTACGAAAATTGAGTAAATGTAAAAAAAAATAATACAGATTACGATCCTCCTCTACCTCCGCTATCGATAGGGTTGAAGGAAGGGCGAGGGTCGTAAGAATATTCTTTTATCAGTAGCTATTCTTTGGTCAGATCACGTTAATCCAGAGTCCCTCGCAAGGTGACCCACGAACTCAGAAATCGGTTCCTCAGTCGCATCATACGCTACTATCACTTTCTCTCCCTCTGGCAGCTCGTAGATGGGTTTTTCTTCGCTATCGCCGTCAATCAGTTCTTTAATTCTCTCAGGTCCCCTTCATATGTCGATACCCTGGATCCATCGATAGGTTTTTGAAATTACTGGACACCTGAGGTCTGTTCGCTTCGTTTCCGTCTATCGGTCGCTTCATCCGAACTGTGTTCGCGCATCTTTACTTGGCTAAGCGTCAACACGGGAAAAGAAAGACAAAATCTATTTAAAAATGACGACTATTTTTTCTATTGCTATAGAAATACAGGGAAACCAAAATCTGCCCTACCTATCAGTTGTCTTGTGGTCGCTCCAACTTTATAAATATCTTCGTAGAGTTTTTAAAACCATATAGTCAAAAAGACTAAAGTCTGTTGGTTCTACTCCTTCAAAGAATTGACCTTTCCCCTGTCGATCCTGGTCACCAGCAACTAATTATAACACGCAAGCTCCGGTCGATCAACCTTGGTTAACCATACGCTGGTCAGTACAGTCGTCGGTTAACTGATTGTTGATGTCTGGTCGTTTCGATCCACACCGTCTCTGCCCACGTTGTATTCTTTGATCTCAAAGAAGTGAAAATCGAATGTTTTCGGTAATTCGGAGCGCTGGTCCAAGCCACGGCGAAGTTGTATTATGAAAAGAAATAAAATTCATCCCGTAGACGAAATAAAAACGGAATATTCGTCGGTTTAGGTTTAAATTAGTTGGTACAAGAATCAACCCTTCCCTATATAAATTTCTATAGTGAAATTTTGCTCTTCTAAATCTTGGAACGGGGGTTTAAAGCCGGGAATTTCCCCCGGCAACAGGTCAAGTGAAGTTTTGGTAGCAACTTGTCCATCCTTCGCGTCTCTTTCGAACTCACATAAAACTCTCTCGTTGAATCGGCAACGCGATCTGCTTATATTGAGCCCGGCCCATGACTGGCGTGTGTTCGGACTGGTCTGGGGTTTTCGGTAATTCTCTAGCATCCGCATTTAGTTGCGGTATTGCCACGCCTATATAATACATACTTTCTCCTTTTTATGCTTTGCACCATTAATTTCAAATGGGAGGAGATAAATTTTCTGCTGTTGTTCTCCTCACTCGGCACTCTATCTAAGACCATCCCAACGGTGAAGTTTTGACTGTCTTTTTGACAATTCTAATTTTAAACTGAGTGGGTGAAAAGGAGGTCTTATTTTAATCATTGATTTTTCTTAAATATTATTTACCAGCCTTTAATCGGGATTATTCTAGTGTACCCCCGAACCTGTCATCTCGCATCCACAAGCCTCGGGTTATCATGCAGGTGCGTTTCTTATTTCAATATCCTATTCTGTTGACAGTTTTGTCTTCCCGAGTTGTGTATATTTCCACAATTCTATTTCAGTTGGTCCCTTGGCCCAACCTGCCAATCACAAAATTAACTTTTGTTATCGGCCATAAAACAATTAATATTTCACAATTCCGTTTTTAATTCCCACGGTTAGCGAATACCACAGAATATATCGTAGCGGTTTCAGCTAACATTTTTACATTAACCCCTGTAATTCCAATAGTGTCACAGGGTGTCACCAGCATACTTGACAACATCTTCCTCTTTTTTGTTTAGATTCATGCACCTCTAACGGGCATTAAACAGAGAGCTAAAGTCACTAAAGATTTTCGTCAAAATGTGTACACTGTCTTCAAAGTCGATTCCACCTGTTTTTTCGGTAATATGTATTTGCAGTATTTTGCAAACTCTATCGAAGCTATTTTCCTCAACAACAATATTGTTTTTCTCATATCCTCACAGCCGCTGCATTCCTAACTCAATTTTTGTTCATATTTACGAAAATGGTCCTTCATCAGGATTTTACACGTATTCTGATATGATATATTGCACAGCGACTGGCGTAAGAGACGTTTAAAAAGTTTTATTTGCCTCATGATTATATTCAACAACTCCTGTTGCTGTTTTTGTCGTTCTAACAACTGTTGATTATGTGGTTGTTGCTGTTTCTGAGTTTTTTTCTTCTCTCAATAGAAAAAAATCTTCTACACAAGGTTTTCTTTTAAACCATCGTGGTTAAAATTCTTGTCCTTAACTGCATCCTTATTACTGAAGCAACAAGAACATTTACCGTAATTGTTCCGTCAGTATGAGTTTCGAAATTCCTTGTAACTCCAGTTACAACTCTTATGAGTTCCTGGATCCTCGTTACTGTTATAAGTCATAAGAATTCCGGGTTCTCGTCAAAACGGTTAAAAGTCGCCTACGTTGCAAATCCCCACTCGCCACATTTATAACTCGCTTCGTAGTGCTTTTAATATAAGTAATGCTTCAGCAACTTCCCATGACGCCTGTATTAATTAGTCTGAAAACTGACTTCAAACGGCTTCTTTTTCTTGCCTCTCACCTGGAGCCTTTTAATTATAGTTTTGCACTTGTTCATATAATGACCGATATATATATATATATATATTAATTTTTCAGGAACCTATATATATATATAGGCTCCTGAAAAATTTATTTCGGTTGAGCTCTCTGGGGGAGGAAGTGTGGGTTTGTAAACAGTGACTATTTCGGCTATTATAACAAGACTCTTCGGCAAGCGAATCGAGCCCTCTCCTCTGTGTTTATCTAAAAAGTTAAATACGCTAAAATTCACCTTCGCCCCAGCCGTGCTAAGTGGTAGAATCTCCGATGACGCCAATTCAGCCGGGTTTCGATCCTAGCTAGAGGCAACCGGACGTCTAGCCACACTTAAGAGCTGTGATACAGCGAAACAGTCTGTCTGCGGATGACAATATATATATAGTTAGTTAGTTAGTCAGTTTCCTGACGATCCGCTTAGGTGAAACCTTGGTAGGTGTGTCTGGATCTCTAAGTTTAACTAGGACTGGTCTACTCATTGTATTGAGCACTTTATTTAGTTGTTTTGGGTACTCGCATCGGGATATTTTTCTTTGGGCCTTGAACTCGTATGCTGGACGATTATTTTCGGTTAACGTACATGTTCTTGGTTCTTTCTTTTTTTATACCATTTTTCCCCTTTGGTATTGGCTTGTTTATTTGAAAATCAATATACCAAAGTTTTTCCGAGCGAGTATAGTTTCTTATACTTATAAGATTTCTATTAATTATATATATATATATATATATATATATATATATATATATGAATGATAGAAATTAGGATGATCTGAGATAATTATAATTAAGTAATTCGTCGAGTTTAGAAGAATGCAGAAAGCACTGGACGGCCGTGTCGTACTATATTTCGGACACTGGTGATTGGTGCGCATCTACTACCAAGAATTGAAACCCGGACAGTTACCAATTTTTCCAACCGGCCTAGGCGACGCAGGGGTACCGAATCAGACTCGATATAGCGCCGATCGATCCCATATTCCGTGGTGGAACTCATCCGAGTTTTCTCTTTTGACTGTGCCTTCACGAGCCACGACTACTATCCCCAATCCGCTCCACCCAGAGCATTAGAAGCCGGTTCAAGGAAGGATACACAAGTGATAGAAATTAGGAGGATTTGAGATAATTATAATTAATTCATCGAGTCTAGAAGAAACCTCAACAGAATACAGAAAAACGTTTGCCTGATAACGTAACTGTCCGGGTTTCAATTCTCGGTAGTGGATGCGCACTGTGAATAGTCCCAAATATAGGACGAAACGGCAGTCCAGTGCTTTCTGCATTCTCTTGATGTTTCTTCTAGACTCGATGTATTACTTAATTATAATATATATATATATATATATATATATATATATATATGTTATGGTCCGGTTCCTTGTACCACGGTGATAGTCCAAGGTAGAACCAATAAAGAAGAACTCAAACATGGATATGGAATAACACAGATATATTACAAACAGGAATATATACAGAGAAGTAGAAAGTGTTAGTATGAACAATCAGGTTTAGTAGGGAGAACAATGTAGTCTCGGCCAGCATCACTATCCCAATGTCTTGCAGTAATTGTCTGCACGCGACTCTGTTTCGGACTGCCTCTGACTCGATTCTTGACACGACTTGAACTACTGACTCGACTTGAACTACTGACGATATTCAGTCACCCCCCCCCCAATGGGGCATCATGTGACACAAGGTTATTTATTGTGGGTTCTCCGAGCCCGTGGGATCGGCCAAAAAATATGCCCATTGAACCCGTATAAACGGACTCAGGGCCGGTTTACCTCCCCGAACGAGACTCCGCCCCTCGGCGTAGCCTCGTTCAGTTTCTTCTCCACCCGAAGGCAGAGAGTTCAACCGATCTGTCGTTCAAGACTTGAGCGACGGACTCCTAAGGAGCAGTATTTATTAAGTATAGAATAGTCCATTATTATTATTATTATGGGTAAGATCCCATAACAATATATATATAGGTACTTAAACTTGCTGACAAAATAATTTACTCTTTTCTCTAGTTAAGATTAATAACTCACTTGAACCAACCTATCTTATTTATTCAGTCTTCTAACGCTCATATTTGTGTCCGTTATAAGAATATAGATCTTAGGCAAAAATCCATTTACCTTTCGTTATTTTTTTACATATCTCCACAGTATATATCAATTCTGGCATTTTTCTAAAAGCGAATCAATTCAAGCCTTTTGTCAACAATTAATTCAGGGTATTTTCAGGTGTAAGATTATTTACAAATTGTTTTCGGTTTACAGGAACAGCTACTTATATACGGCGATCTCTAATCACTCGAACTCCAAGATAATAATGACAAAAGTACATCTATTTATTTGTGTAAAATTTAAGTTTAAAATTTTCAGAGACTATCAATAAAATTCCGTAGTCAGAATAGCGGTAACATTTTTATGAGACATGTTTTCTTTTCCGAAAACCTTAACGAATTGCAACTAAATCATAACGATGTTTTTTTCCGGTTGTATTTAAAAACACATCGATACAAGTTAAAGAGACGAACAATGTTCAATGATTACACATAAAATCTCAGTCTTCACATCTTCCATGTTGGTAGTAAAAAGTCAATGATTATTCAGTAACAACAGAGAAATCGTTATCCGACATGTTTTGACTATTGATCCACTTAATCGATACTATGATCTAGAGGCATAAAAAAACAGACCTGGGACTTTGTCTAAACATGAGGCTTTGCCCTGGCTTGTTGTTGTTTTTGTCTGACAACGAAAGAACACTGGCAAAAACGAACGAAGAGATGCCTGACGGTAGCGTTTGGGTTAGAACTGCATAGTCAATAGCTCCGATGTCTATACGCAGTCAGTGTCAACGCTCAGGTCAAAAGTAAGTTGCACGTTGGATTGACCCCTAAAGTTTTATGATTTTGCGTGGCAAACAATGAATTTTGGATTTCATGAGACGAGATCTTTCGTGTTGGTTTATTGAAAAGGAACCGATGAAACGAAAGAAGATTCATGCATTTTCATGTCATAAATTCTTCACAGTATTATTCTAATATTTAATTTTTAAATCAATTCAAAACTCGTGCTTAAATTAAATTGATATGGATTTTCCCTTAAGACTAAAGAGATATTCTTGAGTATTATTTATTCAGAGAAATATAAGCATAGAGAAGTGGATACACACACACACACACATATATATATATATATATATATATAGATAGATAGATAGATAGATAGATAGATAGATAGATATGATATGAACAGACTGAGATAGATAGATAGATAGATAGATAGATAGATAGATAGATAGATAGGAACAGACATAGATAGACTGCAACAGATAGATAGATAGATAGATAGATAGATAGATTTTCATGTAAATTTTCTGCGTCTGTGTGTGGGGGGTGAGTGCAAACTTCTAAAGTTTTATCATATGGTATCCATTATGCAGAACTCAGTGAGGAGAAAACTGACTCTGAATGACTTGCAATATCTGAAAATTAACGGTTATCACGAGTCCCATATATATATATATATATATATATATATATATATATATATATATATATATTGAGGAAAAAGAATATTGCATCGTCCTGAAGGTGTTCAGTCTACTCAATATTAAACGTCCAAGAAATAGGATTGGATTACAGTAAATGAACACATTATTAGACCCATACACGCTTATGTTATAGAATAATGTGTTCACCTATGTTACTAAGTCTCCACATTGATAAACTCTATATTCTAATTGGAAATTAACACATGCCTGTACTATTGCATGCATAATGCTATACATATGTCGAATGCCAACTTGCTATTATTCCACGCTTCATGCAGCAAATGAAGTAATTCAGCTAAAACTGTGTGTGTGTTAACTGAACGAATCGGGTGTCATCTCATGATGTCTCATAGGTGTTCAATATGAAACACGTCCTGTAACTGCGGTTGCCATGGAAGTTTAAGCACATGCTTCAGAGCGTTTTGAGATGAGAAGATGAGCGCGATTTAACTTTCTATTTTCTTGCTGGGATGAAAGCCTCGATGTCAGCTTTTGCCCAAGATGAGATCTCAGGCGAACATTTTTGAACTGGGTTCGTATAAACCGCATCCCAGGTGACGTCAGGAAGGAAACCACGGAACGAGTCCTACTCTGTTCGTTGATATCAGAAAGATATTATCTTAGTAGGAGCTTCTTGGCTAGGTGAGGAGAAGAAAGAGATCTTAACAGACGCTACGGCATCGTAGAATAGAATAGAATTATACTATTAGAACAGCATATATCATTCCTGTTACAGGAATAATATAAAAACGGATTGAAGATTAATTTGGATGTACATGCCGTTGTTCCACTCTATGATGATATAGTGATTTTCCAAGCGTAGCTCAGATGTGGCACAAGGCCGAAAGTATGGGGTACCCAGGGAGGATCGAACTCACTACTCAGTCGTAATAATACTAGCTAGACCAGCTTGCTAACCATTACACCACCTTGAGGTGCCCATAGTTATTTTCCAAGCATAGCTTAGATATGGCACAAGGCCGAAAGTATGGGGCATCTAGTGAGGATCGAACTCACTTTTCAGTTGTAACTGATCTAGCGAGACAAGCTTGCTAACCATTGCACTACCTGGAGGTGCCCAAAGAGTTATTTTCCAAGCGGAGCTTAGATGTGGCACAAGGCCGAAAGTATGGGGCACCTAGTGAGGATCGAACTCATTACTCATTCGTAATTGTTCTAGCGAGACAAGCTTGTTAACCATTACACCACCCCGAGGTGCCCTGATTTTCCAATCCTGTCTTAGATTTGGCACAAGGCCGAAAGTATGGGGCACCCAGTGAGGATCGAACTCACTACTCATTCGTAATTGTTCTAGCGAGACAAGCTTGTTAACCATTACACCACCCCGAGGTGCCCTGATTTTCCAATCCTGGCTTATATTTGGCACAAGGCCGAAAGTATGGGGCACCCAGTGAGGATCGAACTCACTACTCATTCGTAATTGTTCTAGCGAGACAAGCTTGTTAACCATTACACCACCCCGAGGTGCCCTGATTTTCCAATCCTGGCTTAGATTTGGCACAAGGCCGAAAGTATGGGGCACCCAGTGAGGATCGAACTCACTACTCATTCGTAATTGTTCTAGCGAGACAAACTTGCTTACCATTACACCACCTGGAGGTGCCCACTCTATGATGATATAGGTTAGATTTGTGTATCGTAGGTGAATAGGTTCTGTAAGATGTTACTCCATAGGTCTATATCACCCATACAAACGGCCACCATTTGCATGAAGGAAAATCCCGCTCTCTTCACTGAATATTACAGAGCGTCATTCGATAAACTGGTGACAGTATTGCAACACTCGCAGCCATTGTATCTCACGATGTTGTGTTATAAATAAAAAGTTTAGAGTTTCGCGTTGACAGTTTACAGCCCTATAAAATTGAAACACCAGTTCCTGTCGGATTGCCGAAGTTAAACAACGAAGAATCTTGGTCAATACTCAGATGGGTAACCGCTTTGGAAATACCAGCTGCTAGCAAGTTGACGATGGATGCAATCTCTCTACTTATGCTGATAAAAGCCCTCAATATGTGGAGCTTCTGAACTGACAGGTCGTATATCCTACCTGTAGTTGTGCGAATGAGCGGTGTGAGAGGGACGCGCACCCGAAGTTCAATGGCAAATAAACAACACCAAAGAAATCTTTATCAACACTTTCATAGAATTTTCTCTAGGTTGAGAACGGTGAACGGTCTGGAATGGTCCCCTTATAATGAATCAATTTGAGAGTGTCGACAATGAAATCGTCCCTGCATAGTATGTGTCACGTCTTAATCCGCAGTCAGAACGGGTGATCCTTAGATCATGAAACTGCATGAAGTCTTGATTTCCATGTCTCTCTCTCTCTCTCTCTCTCTCTCTATATATATATATATATATATATATATATATATATATATATATATATATATATAAATTAACTGATTTAAAAATATAGTTCCTTCGCTACACAAGAATTAATTCCTGTGTTGCGAAGGAACCATATTTTTAAATCGGTTAGTTTATAATATTTATGCTCTGTAAATTTACATTAAGCACTGTTTTGTAAAAAAGAACACTGGATTATATATTTTACTGTTCTTTCTTTTTTTTAATGTATATATATATATATATATGTGTGTGTGTGTGTGTGTATGTGTGTGTGTGTGTGTGTACGTTATGATAATTTACCCATGCACGCATGAACTCTCCCAGCTATAAATAGGAGCAGGTACTGCCTTTTGGAGAGGGAAGTTTCCAGAGGTCAGCTCTGACAGTCGAACCGAAAACTCTTGCTGTAACACATTTTGTAATTTGTATATATTTGTATTACTGTTTCTGTTAATATATTTGTTTAACTCAATCCCTCACTTTGTGTCCTTATTTCTGGCCCTAACAAGGCCGCCGCAACAATATATATATATATTATCATCCGCAGACAGACTATTTCGCTGTGGCTAGACATCCGGTTGCCTCAGGATCGAAACCAGACTGATTTAGAATCAGTCGGAGATTTTTCCCCTAAGCTATCGGCTCTCGGCAGAGGGAAAGATGAATTTTTGCGAATTCATTTTGAGTAAACACGCTAGTGACTCAGAGCGCTCGATTCATAGAAGAGATTTGCATTATCAGCAGGGGCAGTCACTGTTTACAAATTCGCGCTTTCCCCCTAAAGTGCTCGACCGAAATTTATTTTTTCGGGGGTGTATATAGATTGCCACCAACAGACAGACTGTGTCACTGTATCACAGCTCATTAGTGTGGTAGACATCCGATTGCCTCAAGCCAGGATCGAAACGGATTTGGCGTCAGTCGGGGATTTTTTCACTAAGTTATCGGCTCTCAACATAAAGGAAGGGGACGTTTTACGTATTTATTTTGAATAAACACGACAGTGACTCAAAGTGCTCGATATATGAATGGATGTATGTGTGTCTCATTGAATAATTTAAACACGTTTTGACTACTTATTTTCAATAGGATCCTCTCATATTCCCACATACGCTTTTTAGTATTCTTATTAATGGATCAGAGAAAATTACCATGTTGATACATATTCATTTATTCCGAGTACTTTCGACATTAGCACAATGTCATCATCAGGGTGTTATTTTTTTTCTACCGGATCATACCTAAGCACCACTTTAAGAAACCATCAACGACAAAATCAACAAATAAATTAACACCAAAATGACTGTAACTAGAACATCAGTCAGTAAGTTTTAACAAATAGTAATAAAAAAAATCAACAGAGCCTGGGAAAAAGCCATTGTAGCCAGACAAAAATCCCCCAACCAAACCTTACACGACTCCAAAAATTTGACATATAATAAACATTCATAATTTTATCATTGTATAGACCCAATGATAACGTAAGAAAAGACCAAGATTACACATCCATTTCCAACCTATAAATGAATAAAGGATTTCTTCAGTGAGTTATTCTAAACATCGCTTGAGAATTAAACTGTACTCTAAATTTTAGGTTTAATATTGAAATTAAACATTAGGACTTGAGTAAAGTTTCGAAACAGTAATTTCTTTGTTGCGATGGTATCATATTTTTGAAAAAAAATTATAATACATACGCACACACACAAACATATATATATATATATATATATATATATATATATATATATATAACATACGGGCCTATTTCGAGAATAGCCAACAACTATCTAGATTGTCTAGAGAACCGATTATATAACTTGCAACAATATTTGCACATGGAAATAAATTTCAACAAAAGCGTTATTTCATATATATATATATATATATATATATATATATATATATATATATATATGTGTGTGTGTGTGTGTGTGTGAAGAAATATGGTTTTAAGGTGTGCTATATTTATGGGATAAAGTGCTCAATATCAGAGATAGAGCGTATGTAAATATAAATGTAAGTGAACGTCCTGACAATTGCGTCTAGCATGAAGCATTCTGTCACCTCTGAGTGTTGACTTCAGTGTTCACTTTTATATATATATATATATATATATATATATATATATATATATATAAGTGTGTGTGTGTGGTGTGGGTGGGTGAATGTGTGTGTGCGTGCTATTGGAATACCCTATATAACCAGAGTAAAAAGGAGATAAAATACACAAGTGTGCATGCAAAAGAAAGACGACATTGCAAGTCAGGTTGTGTGGGTAATACACGTGTGTGTGTGTGTGTGTGTGTGTGTGTGTGTGTGTGTGTGTGTGTGTGTGAAAAGTTCGGTAACCAGGGAAATGTCATTCCCATGTCCAGGACAAGGTCCCGATGTGTGTTGTAGCAACAGCATGCTAGCGGAAAAGGAGAGAAGAGGATGATCCAGGAATTATCCTGCCTTTTATAATTGATTGACAGTGGGAAAGCTATGTGGGGATAACTGACACTGGCAACCAATCATAAGACATCTTACTGCGCATGCGTAAATTCCAGTTTTCCCGAAAGCTTTCAGATTCTAATGAATATGTTGTTTCCAAACAAAATATGTTTCGATAATTTCTATAAACCAAGATTTTTACCCTTTTCTTCTTTAAAGAAAATCTATTCACACCTTTTTTCCTGAAGATGGCAACAGTATCGTATCTGGTAGATTATTTAAGATATTGAATATTTTATGTTTTTATTTTATTTTCTTCTTAGCAAGAACTTAGACCACTGTTTATTATCCTGTGTTCCATCCTTTTGTGTTTTAACCTGTCAGAGAATTTCCCTCCAAGAAGTGGGAAAATATTGCTCATTGATGAGAAAATACAAAGAATGTTTTCTAATATATACACATACTTTCTGAATAAATTCTAAATGATGTGACCATTATGTAAATTATTTCTTATCGGATCATTAGATGACGTCTATCTTGGCGCCAATAGGTCATCGATTTTTTTTAAGGAAGTTTCAACGTCAGTTATTTCAAAGAGTTGAATATGTTGAACTTTGCCACAGATATTTTATAACTGCTGCATCTCCGAGAAATGCGTTTGTCCATTTAGTTTGGTGGAATATTAGATCGTTGGTCTGAAACGATAGTAAGAGCAGAGTAAAAACAGAATAATTTTAATGGTTTCATTCGAATTGAAGTCCTGAAAAGTAAGCCTGAATGACTAAAAATGTTCTGGGGGCGGGGAACCTATATCGTTTTCAGTAGTTTCTCTTTTACCTTATTTCTTTTTGCAGTTTATTGCAACAACCAGGATTTTTTGATAACCTACAGCCAATAGACAAGAAGCATGAATTGAAAAATAGATTCCAATGGGAGCCATATTGTGTATATAACAATCGTAAAATGTAGAAACGACCTGCACGTTGGAATAAAACCAAAAACGAAGAAAATTATTCAATCATTCCTATAAGAAATTTGAATATCTTGAAATGAAAGGAACATGTTCCATCCACAAATTTAGTCCACAGATCCTTTCTTATTACACACACAGGAACATACAAATATGCGCATGTAAATATACTATTTTACACAGGCATATATATATATATATATATATATTAAAGACATTTTTATGTTTAACATTCTTTTTATAGATACAATATTTAAGTAAATACTCTGTTTATAATAAACAGTATTAAATAACATTTACCGGCCTGAATATCCGAGAAATTTTCATAGAAAATATTCGTCCTTTCTATGAAAAGGACGAATGAGCAGTTATGAATGTACGAGATTGATGGAAGATTGAAGTTTATAAGCAATAAATTCGACCGTGCCTAGCCGAGTCGGTTAAGGCACGGCAGCGTAAATGACGGTTTCGTATAGGATGTAGGTTCGAATCCTGTTAAAGGACGTATGTGTGTGTGTGTGTGTGTGTGTGTGTGTGTGTGTGTGTGTGATACAAATATAGTTTTACGCTATGCTATATTTATGAGTAAACGTTCTCAATACCAGAGATAGAGCATATGTTGATATAAAAGTGTACTTTGAGGTCAACACAAGTGGCAGGAAGATGGCGTTGAATCATAAAACAGATTGTCACCGCCTGTCGTTGACCTCAGTGTCCAATTTTACACATGCATGCATTATTTTGACTGTTCAGTTATTTATCTATTTTACTGAAGGATCTATTTTACAAGAAACCTTTTCAACCAACAAATAAGCTTGTTGCTTATTTGTACCACTGACTAGATAAGGTTATCACTTTACAATATTGAACTGAACTTTCCAGTTTTGATACCATCACATTATTGACATTTGCAAGTGTCACACGGAAAAGTAGAAGTGCTTTACGTTTTAGCGGAAGATAATTACTAAGGGTAAATAGTCGACATTCTCTTAATTGTGTAGGAATGTGATGTAATGGAATAACCAGTCACCCCTATGAGATGATTACATTATACGTAGTAAGTACCTATAAAGGCAACCGTCTATGAGAGACTTGAAGGAAAATCTGGTTTTCGAAGAATTCATTTTATTTCCCAGTTTGCTAATTCTTTAGATAAATGTCAAAGCAAGTTCTTGTCTGGATATCAGGAATAAACAGCTGACCATTTAAGAAAACTAACTCTATTAGAAAGACAACTTGTAGACTTGTTTTGTGACTCTGATAACAATCTGAACTGATTGAATTTCTGTTCATGGTACTTAGTCATTAATACTTAAAGGCATGAATTTAACTCTCCCTGAAGATGGGCGTATTACAAAACTTTTTGATTGACAGTTTTGAGGAACAATTCTCCATTCAAACACGTTTGGAAATTATTTAACTTTTCTCTCAAACACTGTAATTTTTCATTTTGAAGAGAGTTTCTCAATATGGATTAAGCTCAATGGTAGAGTAATGGACTGTATATCCTGAAGATTGTTATTCTGAATATTAAATGGTAATATTAACCACTTCCTTATGAAGAAACTTTCTGCATTCATTGTGCAAGCAGCCAGTGCTATTTTTGCTTGAAAATTAAATCTTTTTCATAAAACAATCTTTCAGAAAAATTGGTTTCTCTAGCCGACTAACAGTTATCCCTCTTTCCATTATTGATGAGGGTTTCCTTCCTGGGGTAATCGAATAACCAGTCACGCCCGTGAATGATTACACTATAGGTAGTAAGTACCTATAAAGGCAACTATCTATGAGAGACTTGAGGGGAAAGTGAGCGAGACAACGCAAATACATCCAACCTTCCAATTAGTGGCACTCACTATTAGATTGACCTGTGTGTATTACTGTACCGTATTTCATATTGTACTTGTTGTGTACAATAAACCTTTCTTCTAGTATCCATCTGGTGTTATCTGTTTATATTCCCTTAGCATGGAATATAACACTCCTTACTAAAATTCTGTTTCAGTCAGAAAGAAAGTATAGAAAAATGTCTCATTGGATGATTTCTTCATCTTCCTTTTTCTTTTTCTTTTTTTTTCCTCTTCTTTTTTTTTTTCTTTTTTCCTTTTCTTTTCTTTTCTTTTTTTCTTTCTTTTCTTTTCTTTCTTTTCTTTCTTTTTTCCCTTTTCTTTTCTTTCTTTTCTTTCTTTTTCTTTTTCCTTTTCTTCCTTTCTTCCTTTTCTTTTTTCTTTTCTTTTCTTTCTTTTTTCCTTTTTCTTTTCTTTCTTTTTCTTTTTTCCTTTTCTTTTCTTCCTTTTTTCCTTTTCTTTTCTTTTTTCTTTTCTTTTCTTTCTTTTTTACTTTTCTTTTCTTTCTTTTTTCCTTTTCTTTTCTTTCTTTTTTCCTTTTTTCTTTATTTTTTCTTTTCTTTTCTTTCTTTTTTCTTATTTTTCTTTTTTCCCTTTTCTTTTCTTTCTTTTTTCCTTTTCTTTTCTTTCTTTTTTTTCCTCTTCTTTCTTTTCTTTTTCCTTTTCTTCCAGTTGGTGGCCCTCACTACTAGATTGACCTGTGTGTATAACTGTACCGTATTTCATATTGTACTTGTTGTGTGCAATAAACCTTTCTTCTAGTATCCACCTGGTGGTATAGTGATTTTCCAAGCGTAGCTTAGATGTGGCACAAGGCCAAAAGTATGGGGCACCCAGTGAGGATCGAACTCACTACTAAGTCTTAATTGTTCTAGCGAGACAAGTTTGCTAACTACTACACCGCCTCGAGGTGCCCATCCACCTGGTGGTATATGCTTATTCCGTTGGCACGGAATATAACAGAAGGTAATAATAAAAAAGTAATAAATGCATTTCACATTTACTATTTTATCTACAATAAAGATATACGTATGTGTCGGGGAGAGAGAAAAACTGGAAGTAACTGTCGAATACAGAAGTGTCATTCTGGTAGCGTCTAAGAGAAAGAAGTCATTTTGAAAGTGTGCAAAGAAGATTTGAAAAATAAAACAGAATTATTCAAAGATAACCTTTATTATAATATACAGAGAGAGTGATAAGAGGTAATCGATTCCTGAAATATTGTCTTAAAAAAACTTTATAAATTTCAACATACGGTAATGAATGCCAAATCCTTTCCTCTCTGAAACCCACAGTCAAGTTTAGCTTTGCCGTTACCAAACAATAAATGCCTACAACAAAACGTTATATAGTAAGCTACGATGAGATCAAAATGAAACCCAGAAAAATATATAGGAATAACAGAACGTTACTGGAAACAGAAAACCTACTCACACAATACATTTTTAATCGCAAAGAAATAAAATGTAAATAGGCAAAATGTGCAGCCATATCAAATTATATACTGCAAATTGAAAACAGAAATCAAAACACAGCCGAATATAACAATGTGAATTAAAAAACAAAAACAGTAGCGCTTAGAATAAACAATAAAAACGCTGAGGAGAAAATAAAGATAATTATGTTTCTAGTGATATAAAAAAACACTTAAACAAAAGAACAGAACGCATTTAAAATTACAGATATGAAATCAAATTCATACTACGCTCGCTACAACAACATTCTGACCGAAAATCTTACTTATTATAAAACACAGATTGTGTGTGTGTGTGTGTGTGTGTGTGTGTGTGTGTGTGTGTGTGTGTGTGTGTGTGTGTGTGTCTGTACGTTTATATATTGGATCGGATTTCCTACATTTTTCAACCGATTTCAACAAAACTTCACAGAACTGCGTAAAATTACCTTGAGGTGGTTCTGACAGCACCAAAATTGGAAAAACACAATTGTTTTTGCACAAAATCTATTTGAAAACACCATAAAACACGATTCTGTCGCCAGAATAAAAAGGGGGACAACTCATATCGAGTTATACTTATTATAAAACCCAGGTTTTGTGTGTGTGTGTGTGTGTGTGTGTGTGTTCGTTTATATATGGGATCGGATTTCCTACATTTTTCAACCGATTTCAACAAAACTTCACTTTTTTTTTGACAGGTAGTGTTTCTTATTGTCTTGCACATTTTTTTTCTTTATTTTTACATTCAGAATGATTTAAAAATTCCATTTACAAGACAATTGTTTATAATAAAATTCTATTCAATCGGTAAACTCATAACGATTGAAAACAATGTTTTTGTTTGAGTTTTGGTTTGACCAATTCGTAAAAAAAAAAAAAACTAATTAAGATATGCGTGTCTGTCAACCTTAAACAATAATCTTTGTCAATTTTATTTTTCAGTCTTTATGATGGTCGATACTTGATCTATCTCTTACTGTTACATCAAAATCGCATAAAGTACGTCGAATTACATTTGTTCCAAGTATCAAAACGTTAGAACCAAAGAGAAATGCATAAAACAAATAAATGAATAAAATAACACACACACACACACACACACACACACACACACACACACACATATATATATATATATATATATATATATATATATATAAAACACATAAGCACCCTAGATATCATAAAAGTAAATAACCATTAGAAGAGCAGTCTTCCCTTAGTTAATTATATACTGCTATATATACAGGCCAGCTAAATTAGTAGATCTACTTGACCAGGGGAAAGCATTGCAGCGTGCAACTGACAGCTACTATGCCGTATTGATTCCTACGTCCACATACTATATATATATATATATATATAACATGATAAAGTTAATTGGTAAATTCATAAAGTTAATATGATATATTAGTATATTGGTAAAGTTAATATTGATACATTGATAAATATTGGTGTATTGATAAAGTTAATATGATAAAGTTAATATTTTTCCTAATTAAGATTAGAATGTACATCCAAATCAAATTGGTAGATAAACTGTCGAAAATCCGTCGTCCTGAGTAAGACGATAAACTACACCCAACACCAAGGCTTCTGATCAGGAGGTTTTGAGGAGCGTGGAACCACCTCTTAATTGCTGGTGTTCTCGGGTCCACCATGATCCGGGGTGGTAGCACCTGTTAGGGTCCCTGCTATGGGGAAATAGCTAACACCCAAACTGAGTTCAAAACACTATGAAAGTGTAAAAATAGGTTTTAATTCCAGCAATACATTTTTGTAAAAAATTATTACCAGCAATGTTGAAGAAAAAATATTAGCAGCAATACATTTGGGGGAAAAATATTACCAACAATATAGTTTTGAAAAAAAAATATTACCACTAATAAAAATTTTGTCGGCATTAAATAACCCATTGAAGTTGATATGTTGTAAACCAAACCAAAATTCGTGTATTTGTTCTCTATACGTCCAAATAATTTCGAATCTCTCACTCACTTTGAGTTTGTTTTTGCAGTGAGTTCTATGTAATATTCTGATATTGTCTGCTAATATTTACCATATGTTCGTAGTTGTGTTTTGTCTGTAATATGATAATTGATATGTGAAAAAAGATTTGCACTAAGTCTTAGTAACTAACAGGTTAACTACGAGATGTTTGCTGATAGTAAGAATTTCAGGTTTTTGATTGTGAGGATATATAATGTTATGTTATATAATAGAAATTACACAGTTTTTATTTATGTTTTTATACTGTAGTAGAATGATGTTTGTTAGCGTCAACTAAAACAGCAAGAAAAATGGATTCTGTTATTAATTTTAAGTTCTTAAATAAATTTTATAAACATAGAGAGCTTCAAAATAAATTAAACAGACTTTGTTGAAAGAATTAAATAAAACGTAATTATGGATAATTTTCTCCTCCAGTGTTTACTATTTTGGGATTGATTGTTGCAGGATGATGTTCTTTCCGTTATTTTCTGTGATATTTTTGGCGTGATTTGTTTTGTCTTTTGGTTTTGATTTTTAATCTCCCAGATATGTTTAGAAAGCATTGTACTGTTTGCGTATTTACTATTTGTAACTGTAAACTATGCCTGGAGGAAAAGTAGCTATAATTACCTTCCCGTTCTTTTTAGCAGCTGATAAAGTTCGTGTGTGGAGGAGACCATATCCGTCTATGAATCCAGCTTCTCGTTTGGAGATTGTGCAAGCCAATGGTCGCTCTGTAATTGTGTTGAACAGTTCTTGTTGGAACTTGTAGAAACGACTAGTGAAATTGGAATCTTATTGTGGTAAGAAGTTATAAAGAATTCCTTGTGTCTAACCTAAATTTAAAAATCTTTTGCTTTCTTCATTTAAGTCATTTCGTAACATTTTAACTTTCTACCATTTTTCTTTCATTCAGAAAAAAAAGATGATGAGCCAAAATTGTATCGCTGGTTGAGATAAAATTTACCGAAGTTTTTTTTTATGAAATGTCTTCATGGAAATGCCAAATTCAAGACAGACAAGCCACGTTGAATTGAATCTTTGACTGGCTTCACTAATTGTAGGTCGAAATTCTATTCTGCAGTAAAAAAAAAAAGGCTTGCTCATGGCTGTGCCTGTGTGTGTGATTTAAACTATGACGTTATAATATTTTTTCTATAAATATATTATGTACAATGCATATATATTAATAGACATATATATATATATATATATATATATATATATATATATATACAGAGAGAGAGAGAGAGAGAGTGAGGATATTTGTGAGAAAGACAAAGGTCAATAATGTATGAATGATCAATGCGTCAATTGATATCTGGTTTGTATATGTTCAGCTTTCAGGCATATATATATATATATATATATATATATATATATATATATATATATATATATATATATATATATTAAGATATTAAGATATGTTTTAAGTTTATACATTCTTTTCATAGATACAAATATTTAAGTAAATGCTCTGTTTATAATAAACCATATTAACAACATTTACCGGCCTGAAGACGTGCTTTAACCGATTCGGCCACAGAGGAGCGTTTGGTTAGCAAGGTCAATTTTATGTTTTTAAACACAATTCTCTATGATTTTCTCTCATACATTCATATCTGCTCACTGCGTATCCAAATGTATTATAATGTGCGACGTCATATATATATATATATATATATATATATATAGATAGATAGATAGATAGATAGATAGATAGATATTCATAAATATATTAGAATGTGCAGCTTTTATATTATATCATAAAGAATTAATTTATACAAAGAATTAATTAGCAATGTTAATGAGATTAATGCTGAAATCACTTCGCTAACTTCATTAATTTACAAGACTTAATGAGCCATTAATCTCAATAACATTGCTAATTAATTCTTTGTATGAATTACTTATATATATATGTATATATATATCATCAGGTGTCCTGACGATTGCGTCTAGCATGAAACAGCCTGTCGCCTCTAAGTGTTGACTTCAATGTTCACTTTTATATATATATATATATATATATATATATATATATATATAGGGGAATCGCGCACATTTATTTAAAGCCAGAATCAATATGACTTTCTTTTAGTGTGGGTAAAATGTCTCTGTACATTTGGTGCATTCAAAATTATTTGTTATTTGCTAGAAAAGAAATATTATGGCTTTAAAATTCAAGAAACTTTTTGTATCTTTTACGTTATGGCGTTTTGGCTTTTGAATTCTTTTTTT